TTTATTTAAGATCCTAAAACGTTACGAGTTTTAGGTTCTGAAAACGGTCCGTTTACGGCACGTTAACTTACCGTTAACGACCAGTTAACGGGCCGTTAACGGTGCCGTTTTCTTGGACCTGGGTATGACAATAATAATCGACTAGGTTTAATTATTGATCGCTTAAAATGGCACTAATCCTAACGTACTATATCACTGAAATCGATAAACGATTACACTTCTGACGTATGAAACAAAAATTTTTCCTTACTGAAGTATATTTCATTGTGAAAGAAACCATAGATAATAATTTTTTGAGATTGACTGTGCGATATTTAAGTTATTTTGATAAAATTCTACTTTTTGTCTTTTTCTTAACTTATGTAAGTCTTACTTCACGTTTTATTTTCAAACTAAGCATCTTTTCTGTTTTATTTTAAAATGTACTACTTTTGTTATTGGCTTCTAATATTATAACCAAGCTTTTTAGTTTTTTTGTCGGAGCACTCTCCTACATTTACACACTTTTCTAATAAGAATAAACAAAACTTATCAACGTATGATCTTATTCTATTTTACAAGCGAAACGGAAAATATTTCATGAAATGTATCTCGATATGCAAAAAAACATGTGTACGTTAATTTTCTTTTTGCTTTCAAAAGACCTTATCATACATATCTCCAGTCTCATTGCCACATTTAATGTTTTTTTTGTTTGTCGATAATGAAAACTTGACGCTTGTCTTTGTATGAAATTAAATAGGAAATTTCTTAGACGAGTTTAACTTTTTCAAACTGACCGGTGTCAACCGGTTTGTTGCCGTTTTTAGAATGTTTAGCATTTTTCTCGTCTTCATTCAACAGAAACTTGATAAAACAACTAAGAGAAATAAGGAAAAGCTAGTGAGGATCACTTTTTCCTTAAGTATATTTAGTTTTACTGATAAAAGTTCTCAATCGATCAGTTTTTTTGCAAGTTTCTACCATACCAGTTTCATCGGTATAGTAAATTTTTGGAAACCGGACGGCATTTTGGCTCAACTCATTGATACACATGACAATCACTTAGTCAGCAATCTGCTGTAACCTTCTTTTCTATTAATTATTGTTAGAAATTCATTATCTTTAAGAATAACGTTACCATTCAAAACAGATATGGAGTTATCAGTTCCAGTTTCATGTGTGAATTTTATATTAGGATCAAAAGAATTTAAAACATTTAAATTTTATATACTGATGAATTTTGTTCCAGTAATACAAAAGTGCCATCAACGTATCTGAGATAAGGTTGAAGACCTTCCGCTTGAAGAAAAATCAAAAATACTGGGAAGGTCTCAAAAGCACGAAAATTTTTCGTTTTAAGAAAAAGGCTTGTGGTTTTTTTCTGAAGTAGCATGGAGACTTGAGCTTACTATATTTGGATTCCTTATTCAAAACTGCATCTAGCCAAGGTAACCCCGAGTCTGCAAACGACAAAGTGGAATTTTGGCAAGACCAAGTCAGGAACCAAGAGCCTTCGTTCAAAAACTCTACTAGTTTTTTGTGTGGAGGGCTAGACATTTGATTCACACATCGTTAGATAGGTCAGGTAACCAGCTTTAACAATATGTAGAGCTGTTTTTCAAATTTTGTTTCGTTGTCGAGAAAATTCATTTTTTTTAAATCAGAGAGGAATCCGTAATTCTCAATTTTCTCGATCAAAACTCAACTTTTGAACAACAGAAATATCATATTCGGAATCAGGATCAAAAACTGAATCGACTGATTTGTATTTCGAAATTTCTGTTTGATTTTTAGTTCTGGGTGATAATTTTTCAACGTGAAAATTCGAAAAAAATTGAAATAGTCGGATAGGCTAGAAATACATATCAATCGATTCATTTTTTAATCCTGATTCCGAATATGATGTTTTTGTTGTTCAAAAGTTGAGTTTTGATTGAGAAAATTGAGAATTACGGATTCGTCTCTGATTTAGAAAAAATGAATTTTCTCATACTAAATATAGTCGAATTGACTAAGACGAAAGTTCAATAAAACGGTTTTTCAGATCTTCCATAAACAAGTGGTCAGACCAACGATTTCACTATCCATGAACGGATTTTCTCTTGAGTAAGTAAAGTGGTTTAATCAGTTGGGGTTCATATGAACCGAGAAACGGTCTCTGCGGCTAAGCATACCTTGCTAAAAAAAAGCGGCTTGAACGTTGTTATGACTTGGACCTCTGCATCTCCCTAAATTCTCGACGATGTTTTCTACTGGGATAATTTTAAAACCACTAAAGAACAGAACCTAGGTCACTTCTTTTCTTTGAGAAGAGTCAAGATGCTCTTAAATAGACATGAATCGGTGCTAACATTATGGATAACTTTTGTGGATGAGATAAACAACCACGATTTGATAATACTTATGTGGCATTGTAACAAGCAAATAACGGGAAAATTAAGCTTTTCTTTTCGTTTTTCTCATTGCAAGACATTGAACGAAAAACTACTAGTTTTTGGAAGGAAAACGATCAAAAAAAGACAAGATTAAATTCGTACGTATCTGACTAAAGTAAAAACTTTAATGTGATTTTTTTCGCAACTTCTAGGTGGTGAAAGTAAATCATCAAAAATTGTTATTTCACGACAACTAGGCGGCAGTGGAAAATCTCGCCTACATTTTATCAAATTTAATAGTCGTAAAGAAGCTAAAGCAGCTGCAAGACGTGCAGGTTATGGTGTGCTTGTGCATCATGCTAAAAATAAGGAAAAAGGAGAGCAACCGCATTTCCATCCAACAAATGGAACGCATTATGAATATTGAATTTAACTGTTTTTACTAGGATCCAGAATAATGCAAAATCATCTAAAATATTTGACAAAGTCTCACTTCATATTTTTTAAATCGGAAAATACATGACGTGTTGTTTAATAATTAACCTATTTTTCTTCTATTATATCCCAATAAGTATGAAACTTAATTTGGTAGTAATAAGATATCTTTTGTGGACTTCTCAACAATTTTAAACAACACTTTTCTTCCAGGTCAAAATAGAACGGAAAATCTGTGTTTCTATGATTTTTTATAGATTCTTTTCATGACATTAGTCGGAGACATTAGTCAAACAGTTAATTTATCCGTGCATATTGGTGCATTTTGAATGTGCATATCTGGAAAACACGGCAGACCATGAGTACAACACTTAGCCGAGTTAAAAACACTCTTCATTTACCTTACTTATACATCTTTTACACCGTAGCGCTTTTACACCGACTCAGAGAATGAATAAAGATTTTCATGGATCTGATTTTTGTAATCACATAACTTGCTAAAGGCATAGAAGTAGTGCCAATCGATAGATTTAAGTACTAAAGAAAATACTTCAAACATTGGAGCATTAAATCCGTAGTTTTTGCTTGATGTGTTAGTGAAATGGTGCTATCTATAAGTCTCATACATAGAATCAAATCTCCGAACGACTAACATGTACGACTAACATTTACTCCAAAACTAAATTCATGTGTTCGAATCTCTCGGTGTACAAAATTAATTTTGTGTTCTTAAATAGTTTTAGTTTAGAATACTTCAATGGAATATTATATTTTTCTGCCTATATTCAGACAGACTAAAGCTTATATCATATTAGACAAGTAAATAATATCGTTAATAAGCAAAAACAACGAGAAGAACTGTACTTTACTCAGCTCAAAACCAGCAATATAAATTTATTCATATATATTGAGACAGAGTCGTCGAACTTTTTGTATAGAATACAAGCTGCTAGCTGCGTTATACTGTTCGGCTCATTTTCTTACCATCTGCTGCCATATGCGATACTGTAATAGTCCAATTTGCTCGGAACACATTATTCAAGTATTTTTAATTTTTAATTTTATTTTAATTGAGACATCCCGAAACGTGCTGAACATAGTACCTAATCTACACCAACACCTGAGAACTATCTCACTCGTGTACACTTCCCAAAACTATCTCAACGGGACCGCTGTATTCCCAGCGATGGTAATTTCAAAAGAAGGATCTGATAAAGTATCATATCAAACGCCTTCTCAAAGTCTCTCATAACCATGGCGGAGTCACACTTTTCTAGCTTGTTATAGGTGTTATGGGTCGGCTTACCGGTCGAAAGAAAAGTAATTTGAACGGCTGGTCAACAGTAAAATTTGAGCTCGAAATAGTGAGTTTTTGAATCAAAAAGTGGGCGTCCGTGCGTCCCAAATGACTTCTGCAATTCTAATAATACAGGCTTCGAGGTGGTGTCAAAAATGGTTCCGACTGGCTACAGTAAAATATATGACCGGCCAACCGGCAGGCCCGCCCGATCAGAATTTTTAGACAAGTTACCGGCCCGGCCAAGAAAATCTTGACCGGTTACATTTATGTTATAGTCAACGATGTAAAAAAACACCTTACTTTTTTGTTTGAGTGACGTGTTTTTTTTTTTGTCCGTTCTAATCGCTTAACTGTGAGTCATAACTTAACGTGGCATAAATGAGATATTTATGCTGAAATTCGTGATCTGCTTTTCAAATATACGGGGAAAAAGTTTTTCATGATGAAATTCTTTTATAAAGAGGAAGAATACCGGACTACATGTGTTGTGATTTCTTGCTCAGATAACTAAGAAAAGTATGTCTTTGACATCTGACATATGTTGGGTAATTTTTAGCATGTACATGTGTACTGTTTTTATTCCTGCTATTCTGGTTTGTTCATTCGGTATTATTAAATATGTTGAACATAAACATAACGAGACAATTTACAAGAGTACAACATGTTTGATTCAAAATTTCACACACACACCAGAAATATGCTGCTCGGAGCGAACATCCACGGGGGAATGCCCTCCATCCTATCTTATTTGTTACGATGGGTTTTATACAGTCAACTATCTGATAGAAAATGATAGACAAGTAGAATCAACGATACCAGGCACAACACTTCACTCTACAGATTATCAAGTAACTATAATTGTAACTACTCAAAATCTATCCAACCTACTTCAGAATGGCAGGAAATCCTCTTTTATCTGGAGCATATCGTAAAGCTCAACAGATGTTGACAAAACCAAGAGATAATACTTTGGTTTCTAGAAAGGTTTTCCAGAAGCCTTCAGAACTAAAAGAGTATTTTTTATTGATTTTACCTATATAATCAGAATGAGCGGATAAAATACAGTATTTAGAATTTTTTCATTTTTGATGAAAATAATCAAAAATAGGTTATTTCACCTAGTATAGGTTGTCACTCTGCTGTTGCATTGTGTTCTGAAAACTAACATTGCCACGAGATTCAGCATAGTTGATAACCTATGTTTTTATTCATGTCTGACAGTTCCAAACCTAACGACAGAGGAGTGCTAAGACTTCAGGAAAAACGTCCATAGCTCTCGAACCATGGACTTTCAAGATGTCGCTTAGATCCATTTGTGTAGAGGACACTTCTGACTATATATGCCCTAAAAAATCAATAGATTCCTATTTAAGTTTCGGAAAATTCAAGCTAGTTTTCCAAAGATCCTCTGAAAAACCGATTTCGAAAATTTTTCCGGAAATCGGTTTTGCTGGTGGAAAGGTAGCCTCAAGACTTGGCTATTGAATGGTGAAAACCACAAGTCTCTGTCTTTATTTGATGCTTAGTTATTCAAGAAAGAACCACTGCTCTTGTATTTTGGCTCAAATAGTAGTATCCACCTGCCCGTATTTTCTCATTGCTAGATTGGTTCCAGTCATACTTGTAATTACAATCAACTAAATGCATCGAATGTGCAATGGTCGAAACCAAATTCTGCACCATATTTGATCATGGTAATTATCGGATGGTCACTAGTTATATTTCCATTCATTATTTGCATTCGAACATGTATAGGTATGAATCGTTGTAAAGAACATGTGCTCAAAACTAGACGGCAACGATCATTATCTGAGAAATTGCATGTTGACTAAAGACTAGTTTCTTTTTATAAAATACCATTTGTTACTGTGTGTATTAAACTATTCATACATCCATTTTAGTCGTTCGGAGATTTGATTCTATGTATCAGACTTATAGATAGCGCCATTTCACTAACACATCAAGCAAAAACTACGGGTTTAATACTCCAATGTTTGAAGTATTTTCTTTAGTACTTAAATTTATCGATTAGCACAACTTCTATGTCTTTAGCAAGTTATGTGATTACAAAGCGAACAAATTAAAAGAGTCTTCATGTCTCCCTCTTTTTTTACCCTCTTGGAAACTAGGGAAGCCGATGTCGGATCCGGTTCGAAATTATACCAGAGATAGAATATCGGAACAGAAAATCGCTGTATTCTTGCCCAGACTTGCCGAAAAAATGGTCCGATGCAGCTCAAAATTTTACCACAGATACTTCAGACCCTACCTATGGTTCATTTGTTTTCTTTTCTCAATATATATGAATAAATTTATATTGCTGGTTTTGAGCTGAGTAAAGTACAGTTCTTCTCGTTGTTTTTGCTTATTAACGATATTATTTACTTGTCTAATATGATATAAGCTTTAGTCTGTCTGAATATAGGCGGGAAAATATAATATTCCATTGAAGTATTCTAAACTGAAACTATTTAAGAACACAAAATTAATTTTGTATACCGAGAGATTCGAACACATGAATTTAGTTTTGGAGTAAATTGCAAAACTAAATCCAATGTTCTGTGTTTATATCTTGTACAACGATTGGCGTTGTGCAATCGACTCGATGCTATTAATAGTTATTGATTTTGTGTTTTTTAATAGTTCTAGTTTGGAATAGCATAATGGAATATTTTTTCGCTTGTATTCTGACAGAATAAAGGTTGTATCATAAACAGAACGCAAAAATATACTAGCAAAACATTTAGTTGTTTCTTGTTTAGTTTTTAGATTACGGTCACTTTTCAGCGGATGTTTCTTCCATTTACACATTGACGATAGCATCTGCTTATTAGTATTTACTGTCGAATATATTCGTTACAGCTTTTGTTTTTTGTATAGAGAAATTTTGTTGTTGCAAAAATAAGCTCAAGTTTAAGACAAATTGCAGTAAACTTGTAGCAGATGTAAAATATATTCTTGAATTCGTCCGGGGTAATCAAAACATTTCGTTGGAAAGAAAAGACGCAGCGCATTAAAAGCAGATCTTCAAAAATTTTCGTTGAAGCGAACAAATTAAAAGAGTCTTCATGTCCTTGGACAAAAAAATGAAGTTGAGAGTTACATATTTTTCACAATTTTTTCGTCTCAAAAAAAATGTGTGAACATCCAGTTTTAAAGAGCTGTGGTTTTTCTTTTCAACCAAATGTTGCTCGAATGTCTACTGTTTTTTGTTTAAAAGTTATGAGCATTTTAATTTAGTGAAAAACAATGGCAGAATCACATTTGCAGTGTCAAACTTCTGTAGACAGGCCGGACAATAATTTTTGTAAGGAAGATATTCGATATAGTCTTTTAGTAGTTCTGGAAGAAAATGGATTGTGCCCATTGTATAATAACTGAAATTATTCAGTGATTCACCTCGACTTCCTAACCTGTGACTCATCTCATGCTTATATCGGCGGATTTTCTTGGCATAATGACTTTTCATCACTCATGATTCTAACTGCTGATGTTTACTATAACTTTATATTGAAATCCGTTTAAAACCAGTTCATTATGTATCATACATAATGAACTGGTTTTAAACGGATTTTTATTCTAAGTACTGAAGTTCAGTACTTAGAATAAACACTCATCGCTTCTCTTTTGTTTGAAATATACATTAAATTTCTACTTGTGCAAGATCGCTGGAATGTTAGAAAAAGATACAG